TCATAAATCTGTCACAGGTTTGATGATAATATTTATAAATGATATGATTTAACACATGTGATTGTGATTTAATTCCATTCCTATCTATGTGTCAAGACGAGTCACTGAATACTGAACAGTCAGTGAATGTCTTGACACAGAAGCAGTTTTAAAAAGGGAGGTTCTGTGTTTGATATGTGATGTATGTTTGATTTGAGTGTGTCTTCATCATCTTCTTACCCTTTTACCAAATTAATTTGTTGTCAGTTCAATGAGGTTTCTTCCATTCTCCTCCATCACTCATCAGTTCGCTGCTCACTCCCTTTCTAGCCATCATCATTCAGTCCATCCATCTTTTCTTTGGTCGTCCTCTACTCTTCTATCCATCTACATTTTATTATTATTAGGGTATTATGGACGAGCAGCAAACTTGCTGATGTGTCCACTTCACTGCACTGGAGTAAGTTTGTGATGTAAGAGTTCCCGTGTACATGATTAAACGGTTGTTTAGTCCAATGGGTTGTGCTTTTCTAACCACAACCCATTGGACTAAACAACCGTTTAATTTCACATACAGTTTATGTATGTGTAAGTGTATGCAAAGAAGCCCAAAATCGATCTAAGTGGCGTGCAATGGGAGAGGACTATGTCCAGCGGTGGACTGCGAAAGGCTGATTATGGAAGTGTATTGTGTGTATTGGTATTGGGCTCCGGTTTCCGCATTAAGACTCAAGAATAGTCCTTTATTCGTCGAGAACAAGTTGGCTAGGTGACACAAACAAACTCCTTCCAGAAGCTCAGAAGCCTCCTGGGGCGTTCACAGACTTCTAGGAGCGATTTTGTATCAGGAGTGATACTTGCCCGTCATGTGGCCACTCCCACGCATTTCCAGGATTACGTGGGCGGCCGTTTCTTCTGCTTTCAGACATCTTTTGCAAATAGGACTGTCCGTCGTATTAATGGTGTGTGTGTATGTATTGCGAAACTGCTTTCGCCTCTACTCTGGCTACCAATTAGCTTCTGAAGTGATGTTAGTGTAATCGGGTACATCTTATTCCATTCCAGAGTCCTCAAGGTGACAATACCACAGCCAACACCACGATGCCTAAGGTCAAGTTAATACGGAGGAAAAGGAAGTTGGACAAATGTTGTAAGTACAAATATCAGCCTTTATATTACAACTAACTTGTTTTCTGATACTAACAAGAGTTTTTCTTCGGATAAGAGGTATTTTCAAGTCTTTTTTTTTTTTTTTTCTTTTTTCACATTCACACAACGCCATCTAGTCCCAAACTAAGCAGAGCTTGTATTATGGGTACTAGATAACTGATATAAATACATATATACTTTTTTTTGTAAATACATACTTATTATACATAGAAACACCCAGACCAAATCAAACATTAAATGTTCATGCACATAAATGTTTGACTTGAGCGGGAATCGAACCCGCGACCTTTGAAATAGCAGTCCGTTACACAAACCACTACGCCATTCGGTCGTTTTTGGTACACCTTTGACACCATCTATGCAATATTTCATAGTCATTGGTTAAGCAATTAAGGAGTAAAAGCGAAATAAATAAACTTTCATTCGAAGTTCTAATATTAGCAGGCTAAACCCAGTCCCTATACTATAGTAGTTTATAAAGCTTGTAAAAAACGGAACCCTTATAGATTCGTCACGTCTGTCTGTCCATCTGTATGTCACAGACTTTTTTTTCCGAAACTCTAAGAACTATACTGTTAAAACTTGATAAGTAGATGTATTCTGTGAACCGCATTAAGATTTTAACACAAAAAGAGAAAAAAAAATTTTGGGGGTTCCCCATACTTAGAACTGAAACTCAAAATTTTTTGTTCAAACCCATACGTGTGGGGTATCTATGGATAGGTCTTCAAAAATGATATTGAGGTTTCTAATAATTTTTTTTCTAAACTGAATAGTTTGCAGTTTGCTGTGTAGTTTGGTTTTCTGTGAAGACGTGGTATCACCCCGGTATAGATAGCGATAGATTGATAGTTGGCGTAGTGGTTTAAGCGGTCACCTCGCCGCTCCTACTGCGTTATGTGTTGTAGGTTCGATCCCCACTTAGGACATCAGTTTGTGAGATACACAAATTGCTCTGAGTCTGAGTGTTATTCTTTAGAGTCTTTTCATGTACGTTTGTAAAGTTCACGCGACGCAGGACGTATTCATAATGCGGGAGTTGAATTTTAAACTGACTTTGTTTTGAAATTCGATGCTGTACGCAAGGCTGCAGGCCAGTATAAAAGATTTTTCACTTTCCTGTGTGTTCCTGTTCAGTGAGTCATCCATTAGTAGTTTTCTTATCATGTTTTTAACGAGTTATTTTAAATGGAATTCGTTGTTTAGGCATGAAGGATGTATTGTCTCTGGTGCGACGCTATCGCAATGGTGTTAGCTACAAAGTAATGATATCTACTTGTAACGTTCTTTGACTTTTGGAGCAGTTTTATATAGGGGTCATCCATGATGTCACCCTAGCAGAAGCAGGCCGGGGTGGCGGCGAGCGCGTTGCGAAGCGCGCTCGCTTCCAGGGAGCAGAGGGAACATGGGGTTCCCACACGAGGGGGGGGTGCTTTACTCGTCCGTAGATGGCCCGAGGTATGTCGGGGCTTCCTTTCTAGGGTATACCTGGTTCCCCGGCTATTAGTACCCGAGACGGCGTGCGGTTTTAGTCGGTTCGAGTCCGACATGCCACCGATAGGTGGTATCCGAGAGGATTTCCGCACGAAAAAAAAAGGGTCATCCATGAATTACGTCACACGAATTTCATGGTTTTTGGAACCCACCTGTCCTTATTACCACAGCAGCTTTTTACGTCTGGTCACATTAAAACGGCAGTTCTGAAATTAGTTTCATTTCCATTTAAACTGTTAAAAATTTAATGTTTAGATCTATTGGGTTTTGAAATATGTCGTCACAAAACTTCACATCAACAGCCTTTACTAGTCCACAAAACTTAGGACCCTTAAATTCAAATTTTTACATCCTCATCATCATTAGCCTTTGATAGTTCACTGCTCGACATAGGCATAACCTATCCCAAGGAGGTTTTGGCCTACTATACCACGCTGGCCATACGGGTTGGTATAGGGTTTATGCCAAGTTCTACTTCTCTTTGCAGTGCTCCTGTTCTACGTAGTTTGCTCCCTGAGTCGGCTCTAACGACCCTCGGGATAAATAGGGATCTTAAAATCTATATTTTCAATCTTTAACAGAACTAAAGGAAAATTAATTAATGAAAAAAACTTCGGCTGTTCTCTTTTGTAATTCAAAGAGTTTTTATTTAATTTAATACATTTTTACTTTTGTTTTCTTTATTGCAATTTTTTTTTTTATATATATTTTATATAACGTCCTTGACTTCTTCTGCTAATCATCATCATCATCAATAGCCTTTAATAGTCCACTGCTGGACATAGGCCTCTCTTTAGAATAGAGGTTTTGGCGTCTTCTGCCTTAGAAAACATTTAAGCAAATCCTATCCTTCTATGAAATTTGTGGCTCTACGTTTCTCATCGTAACTGCGTGAAACATCGCTGGTTATTTTTATAATCTACCGAGTTGAGAATCTGTTGAGGTGCTCATAAGGGTGTTAAATCGTGTTAGGGTAAGTGGAAAGTGAATACTAAATAAAAACAAAATATATAAATTAAAAATGTTTTATTTTATAAGTATTTACATTTGAAAACAAGTAGGCTTTTATTGTTTAATAAAGTGTGAGATTAGTGCGACAAGAATCAATGAACATGGGGAATTTAAACACAAAGTCACTGCAGATGCTGGAAGTTTAGCTATATTTACAAAACTTGTTTATGTAATATATTTAAAAGTATGTTCAATTCACTACAGATCAATTCCTAAATAAAAAGTCTTAAGCCTATTATTTACAAACCGCCATACTTGTGGTCGAAACTATGCAATTACAATAAAATATGAAACATGCTACTGGCCATGTTTATAGAACATGTTAGCTACTGTTGCTGCTACACTCGTGCTCAAAACATTTACAGGACGACACGTCCACTGCCCCAAAACTTACTTACTGACCAGGACCTGACACCTGGTTGGCTAATCAGATAATAATATAAATATCTTTTAAAATAATAAGGATTACAAAATATGAAAAACTAAAACGCGCCAGTATCGACAATCGTTAGTTATTAACACCACTAGTCTCTGCTTCTCTATTGTAGAAAAGTTAGAATGGAAAAGAAACTTATCAAAAAGCAACGGTAAAACGATCAATCTCGAAGGCACACCCCTAAATAGGGTCGATTGTTTCGACATAGACATAACCCAGGGAATTAACACAGGATGGATGAAATGGAAAGAACTGACAGGAGTTTTGCACGAAGAGAGAATGCTTGTAGAAGTAAAAGACAAAGTTTATAAAGTCGCCATACTACCGGTAATAACATAGGGCGCCGAATGCTAGACCCTCAAAGAGAGGACAGACTGCATGCCGCTGAAAAGAGGATGTTGCGTTGGGCAGCTAGACCGCATCCGAAATACCTGTATCCGTGGTAGCGCCCGGGTAAAACCAATCCAAGAAAAGCTAAGGGAGGGTCGACATAGATAGTACGGCCATGCGACGCCCACCCGAACACATGACCCGACAAGTGCTCAATATTTTCGGCGCCAAAAGAGCGAGGAAGACCCCTTCTCACATGGAGAGCCACTATAGTCCTAGATATGAAAGATGCAAAGTCACACCTGGGACGACCCGGCACAGAGCGTCCTGGCGAAGGTTGACTAGGAGAGCCGACCTCAAGTGTTGGGATAAGGCCAGGCGAAGACAGAGAGAGTGGAAAACAATCTAATGAACCATCAAATCATCAAACTAACCACACATTTGTTCTGCAATATCAAATTTGTCAAAGTTCTTTCTATAGATGCTATCAACTGCAGCGTAATTGTTTTGCAGAACTACATAGTGTGAGTAAAAAGTCACTGTACAATTGTGTATTTCTATTAAACCTAGACATCTATTTTTAATTATTACGCCTTCTGAATGGGGCTCCATTATTTCTAAAGCCACATCTACCATTACCACCCCTTACTCCCCTACCAGAGTTAGACCTTGAAAATCTTCCATTGTTATTAAGACGTGAACTATATTTGCCACAAGGTGGAGTGTATATTCTTAAATTTCTATCATCGCTTTTTGAACGTTTTTCAGGAGACATTTTGTCATGTACATTATCAAAGGTGACAGGGCGGTGGCGTTTTTGTCTGGGCGACTGTTTTTTATCTTCAGAAGCTGGTTGTTCTTGAACCTAAAACATAAAAAAACAACATAACATATAATAGAACATCGATTCATTGGGAGTTTTATATTAAAAATGTATAATCGGGTATTTTACTCCACTAATATTTTGGACAAAAAACTTAATAGCAACAGGCAATCGGAAAAACTCCAGAACCATATGTACATATGGGACACTATATCGGGTCACATACAGAAAACCATTTTTATAAATAAGGATACATATCAATCCATTTATAATAACTAAATGTTATTTATGTAACTGATAAATAGACATATCATAGATGAGAAAAAGCTGGCGAAGAAAGTGTTAGTTATAGGAGTTGAAGGGTACAAGAGAAGAGGAAGACCTAAGAAAAGGTGGATGGAGTGTGTCAGAGAGAATATGGGTAGAGAGTAAGTAAACTGTGAAATGACGAATGATGGAGTAGGTTGGAAGGATCATACTAATATATGTCCCAATTAAATTGGGACAAGGGTAGACAGATGATGAGTATTTAAAAAAAAAATACGAATTTACCTCTTTCTCAGTGTTCTTTGACTTGAATGACAGTTGAACTTTACTGTTGAAGCTTGGCGGGGCACGGAAAACATCCCTGATGAGAGTGTTGATATTAGATATAGCTTTCAATGTAGCGACTCTCAATTTGCTTTCTTCTGAACTGGCGTCTTCTCCTATCTGTAAATAGACAAGAATCATTGGTTAGAAAATAATAGTTAATTGTTTATAGTTAAGTCCGTGTGGTGACGGATTAAGAATACGGAATTTCACCACCCCTATTCATCATGTGGGTGTCGTACAGCACTGCAACAGCACTGCAAAGAGAATAAAAACTTGAAACAAACCCTATACCAACCCGTCTGGCCAGCGTGGTATAGTAGGCCAAAACCTCCTTTCTAAGGAGAGGCCTATGTCCAGCAGTGGTTGTTACAGGCTGTTGTTGTGATGAATTGTTTATTAGTATAATAATGTATGTGATCGGAATATCATAATTATTACATACCTGTGTAAGACCCTTCAATTTCCTTGTGTACCCTTGTGTAAGACGCGCTGTATATTGTAGACGTGAGCGTAGTGGTTTGAGTTTAGCGGCATCGGCGCTCAGAACATCCGGCGCCTTCCGACATAAAGAGTGGAGCGAGAACAACGCGCATTCCACATGGGAAAGTTGAAGATAGGGTGATGATTTACCATCTTTTTCATCATCTTCTACTGGTGCCTTCGGTAGATATTTCTGTTGGACAAATTAGAAAGAATTTAAACTGTCAACTCACTAAGGTATACACATAACACCTACAAACTTGATTAAAATTCCTTATTACCTTATTACCTAGCTTGCTTAGATCTTGGTAACCTACCGGTGATTAGGCTTAACCTAACAATAAAAAACGACGGGTTGCACTGCGGGAGTGCCGGCAGAAGTGTAAACTTGAATATTAACGTTGTGCATTTTTGATATTTTGAAATGGTTAGGGAATAATTTTGCACGAATTGCTTTAATTATCAGTATAAAAGTACCATTTATGTGGTAGAATACAATATTTATTTATTGCGCTATCGTACACAAACATGACAATTTATATTACATTATAAAGTTTATCTCTCAGAAAAACGAACATTCGCGCAAGCGCCCTGCGCCGCCTAAACGAAACAGCAGGCGCAGGCATACATTTTCTATCTGTCTAACACTTAAAATGGATTTCTCCAAAGTATTAGGTATAATTTTATACCAGATATTTAGTACTTTGTATATTGCTATACCAATTTAAAGTAAATTTTTAAATTGAAAATTATGTATTGGTACACATTTCAGTTAATGATGTGAGCTGTATAATATTTGTATTATATAATACTAGCTGACCCGGCAAACTTTGTTTTGCCATATACATTATTTCAAAAAAAAATGTCAAAAAGATAATAATTAGGGGTATGAAAAATAGATGTTGGCTGATTCTCAGACCTACCCGATATGCACACAAAATTTCACGAAAATTGATTGAGCCGTTTCGGAGGAGTTCGAACACGCACACCGTGACACGAGAATTTTATATATTAGATTTTATCCAGTCACCAATCTATAGAGATCTCATAACTCACAAATAAAAGAAAATAAAATTAAAATGACAAAAAAAAACACATTTACCACATTAAAGTCAAATATTTCTTGATCAAAATGTTATGTACTCACCATGAGCAAATCATAAACAGCATCAATTCTCTGCTGTGGATTTTCTAACTCTCCACAATGCTCTGTGAGTTCAGCAAATGATTTCAGGAGATCTAATTTAGCATCTGCGACTCCTTCAGGAGTTGGTATTTCATTCCACCTTCTGAGTACATGATCACAGAAGAAATTGATAAACTGGTTAGAATCCACTTCAGCCTGTAAAGAAAACGAATAAATTAGAATTCAGTCACATGGTTGTTTGATGGTATTGGAACATAAAAGCTTATGACACTTACCGAAAACAAGGGTAGGGCATGTTGGGAACACTGTGTAATCCTCTCTAAATATTCAGGATCATCAGGGGTGAATGCAAGAGCAGCAACAATTTGTACAAGTTCCTTTCTGCCCAAAGTAGATTGCCCCAATTTTGACCATGTCAATAAGTCCATGATATGGTCGAACTCTTCGGCTGTAACATCTTGGCTCTAAAAAGATATTAAATGAATGTAAATACAACTTGGGAGTTGAAATAATGCAAAATAAGCACAATACATTTTGTGAAAACCACCTCTGGTATATACCACATGTTTATCTATTTAATCGTGCACCTACATGTAGTTAAAAATTTAAAATGAAAATAAAAAACAGGGTCATAATTATTGTGTTTTCAAAAGAAAAGGTCATGTCATTACCATTACTTAAATGTCGATTATACTATGAGTCACAATTCACAGGTCCTGTATGCAAAGTAGTCTATTAATTAACTAATGATCACGTTTTGCTAATGAGCCTTTCTGTTTGTTTGTTACGAACTTAGTGCCTGTGCTACATAATTGTTAAATACGTTATACGTGAATAACACAAACCTTGTGTTTCTAGAGACTTTATCCAGTGATGAAAAAACACACTAGTATTCTTTAGATCCACAACTGCTGTGTTCCGTACAGCAATGCTAATAACGCACACGTGTTCCCGACGAGCGTGCTGTAACCCATACATACCCCTTGTGTTCCCGACGAGAGTGCTGAAAACACTGTTGTGTGTCGTAACGGCAATGCTTGAAATAAAAATATCTTGAAAGTTTATCTTAAATGCAGACCTGTCTTTGACGTTTTTTTTCGTAATAAATATTAAATTGAAAAAATAATAGTTTTATATTTATCTGTAAAACGCATATTGGACATGATAAACAAAAATAAAAAAAAAACTATATTCAGTCAAACGTATGTTTTACGCTCTGTCGTTACGCCACACAACAGTTGTGTTTTCAGCACTCTCATACTGCACACAAGGGGTGTGGGTTATAGCACGTTCGTCGGGAACACGACGTGTGTCATTAGCACTGCTGTACGGAACACAATAATTATGTGACCATCAGTAGTGGATCGAAAAAATACCGGTCTGGTTTTCAGCATTGGAGAAAGTTTCTATAAACACAAACTGTGTGTTATGGTCAGAGTATACAGATTCTCCCTAAAATTGACTATTAGATAAATACCACACAGTTACAAAGTTCACTAGTAGAAAGATGCCACAACATTAAATACCACACAGTTCCCCAAAAACTGACTATTAGATAAATATAACCACTTTAAATACCACACAGTTCCCCAAAAGTTCACTATCAGATAACGCCACAACATTAAATATCACACAGTCTCTCAAAAGTTGACTAAATAATATTTCACACTGAAAATCTAATTCATTATTAATTGTCATAAAATGATAATTTTCAAACTTACCTCCAACAGTTTCGTGCATTCTGAAATGATTAACTCTTCAGCTTCCTTGTTGATGACGTCTCTGCCAAGTTGTTTCACTTTAGTAGCCAAGAATTTAATGCACCTGTCCCTGACAACTTCACCTGTGACTTCAGTATCGGAGTTCTGATGTATTTGTGAGAATAAACCTGTCAGTGCACCTTTAGCATCTGTCTTTAATATTGCCAACAGTGAGTTAGTGACAACGTTTGATTCAGTTGTGTCATCTGTTGTTAAAAGCTGGGCCAATATATCAACAATTCTTTGAGTATTCTCTTTGTTGCCTTTACATAGCGTAGGCAAATCTTTGATAGCTTGTTTCCGGATCTACAAAGACACATGTAAATTTAAATTTAAGTTACTGAATACCTATACACACAATTCCAACGCAAGAACATAAATGAGAGTTCAACTTACGGCTGAATCATAGTCCTGACACAAATCAAATAGAGCTTCAGTGGCTTGATCAGCTAAATTAGGAAAACTGTTGAAAAATTTCGCGATAATTTGTGATGCCAAACGTTTTTCCTTATCAGATCCTTTGACTGCCGCTACTATTTCAAAGAACTCTTTTTCATGCTGAAACAATCGAACAATGTTACGTACAATGGCATATTACAGAGCCACAGAAATAACACGTGATATATATTTAAGATATGTTACCTTTGATATGTCATCTTTGGCGTCGGCTAGGATGCCATAATTCTGATATAATTTTTCAATGTTATCCGCAAACATCTTAAAACGAAGTTAGACACAATGTATAACTCTTTAATTCAAGATTTAAAATCACCACGCGACACTACTATTTGCACGAGCAGAATTTGAGACGTGTAGACAGTACCAAACTCGAACGCAGACTGACTGACTGTAGTGCGGTCGCGGAGCAGTAAGAATTTCGTACATTGACTTGTTATTATCCTGTCTCTTTCCCTCTCGTGTAAATCTAATTCCGTCGCGTTCGCACCTATGCGATGACCGTTGTGTGTAAACATTGTGAACCTTTTGTGCGTTACAATAAGCCCTGCTTTTGTAGGTACATAGGATATTTGCCGTGCCATTGCTTTTTATATTAAAATAGAACGGTACTTCATTTTTCCATTATATTAATGCTATTCTGAAATAAGTAATACTAAAATAATAATTTTATGATATTTCTAATAATTATTACATTAAATTTTAATAAATGGTTATTATGTGATTAGTATCACAGTAAAGCTATACTGTACGATATGGCGTTAGAGCCTTGACTTTGTGCATACCTGAGGGTAGTATATTCGTATAAATAAATATAATATTAAAGAAATTAGCAAATACATAAACATAAATTAAATTTAAAATATTCTGTATATTTTAATATTCTACAAAATTTTCTAGACTTGTTTTTGACCCCTGACAGAGGCACAAAGGTACGAAATTTTTTCTGTTTTGCGACCGCACCATAGTTTTTTTTTCACGATGAACATTAACAAAAATGGGAGCAAGTCTTTTAAATTTTTCTACCACTCCAATTGTCCTGAATTAAAAAAATAAGCCTTAAACTGTTACCTTAAAAAAATCTACAAAAGTCGGAGAATGTGATTAAAGGAGAAAAAAAAAACACTAAACAATTTCTACTAATAAAAACGCCATATTTATCATACAAAATTATATTTTAACAATCAAATTAATAGATTAAGAGGTTTATTTACATAATCATGAACGTATTGTGGTATTATTTACACATATGGGTTCACTTAGATATTGTATCGCTTTCTCTTGTGTGAGGTACAAGTAAGAAGCAATGCACGTTATGATCAAACTTGTGTTCTTCACCTGTGCTATAAACAGAGCACTGCTCTAACACCATGCTCTACATCTAGTGGAGGAAGTCATATGTCTTAACTATAAACACAAGACACCTACATCTCAACTGTTATGTTAGACATTTCATCTGAATGTTCAGTATTTTGATTTTGTATCCCAATTTAGAGCTTAAATGTTGCTCTAGTGCCGACGAATGTACGTAGAGTGTGTTCTCAGCACTGGAGTATTTTGAATAGTCGACAGTGCGTATACAACACAACTGTTGTGTTCCGTACAGCAGTGCTAACAACACACACGTTGTGTTCCCGACGAGCGTGCTGTAACCCACACCCCGTTTGTTCCGTACGAGAGTGCTGATAACACAACTGTTGTGTTCCGTACAGCAGTGCTAACAACACACGCGTGTTCCCGACGAGCGTGCTGGAACCCACACCCCCTTTGTTCCGTACGAGAGTGCTGAAAACACAACTGTTGTGTTCCGTACAGCAGTGCTAACAACACACACGTTGTGTTCCCGACGAGCGTGCTGTAACCCACACCCCGTTTGTTCCGTACGAGAGTGCTGATAACACAACTGTTGTGTTCCGTACAGCAGTGCTAACAACACACGCGTGTTCCCGACGAGCGTGCTGGAACCCACACCCCCTTTGTTCCGTACGAGAGTGCTGAAAACACAACTGTTGTGTTCCGTACAGCAGTGCTAACAACACACACGTTGTGTTCCCGACGAGCGTGCTGTAACCCACACCCCGTTTGTTCCGTACGAGAGTGCTGAAAACAACTGTTGTGTTCCGTACAGCAGTGCTAACAACACGCGTGTTCCCGACGAGCGTGCTGTAACCCACACCCCGTTTGTTCCGTACGATGGCAATGCGTGAAACATGCCTTTGAGTGTATAAATGTTGTTTTTTCGTTTATTTTGTCCAATATGTGTTCTACGAATAAATATGAAACCAATTTATCTTTAAGATATAATATTAATTGCAAAAAAGAACGTCGAAGGCAAGGCAATATTAACTTCAAGATGTTTTTATTGAAATATAAAAAAAACAATGTACCTTTTCAGGGAGATTATTTTAAAAGCAAACAAGCACACGTTTGCTTATTAATATTTCGTATTGTTATTAATTTTTCTTATCTTAATGTTAACGTGGGGTCATAAAACATGTATAACCACAACCCTTTTTCGACATTTCATTGTTTTCGTCAAACAAATAACGAAAACAATGACACGGCAAACTTTTTCAAAAAGTTTGTTAAATAACTAGCAAACAAACAGTGGAACGGGTTGTACAAAGAACTCACACGAAGACCTCCCACTAAGAATTTAGTAAAAAAAAAACCACATAGACAAAAACAAATCAAGAATTAAAAACAGTTATATTAAATAAATAAATAAATGTTGCCCTTTCATTGTTTTCGTTATCTGTTTGATGAAAAAAATGAAATGCTGACAAAGGGTTGTGGTTGTATATGTTTTATAACCCCACGTTACCGTTAAGATCAGAAAAACTTATAACAATACAAAATATTGTTAAGCAAACGTATGCTTAATTGCTTTTGAAATAATCTCCCTGAAGACGTCACATTGTTTCTTCACTTTTAAACAAAGGCGAGCTTAACCCAAAACTGAGTTTTCTTCCAGCAAACCTGTACTTGGGAATTAATGGAGAAAAGCATATAAATTAAACAAATACCTACATTAATTGGTATAGTAAAATATATAAATACATATATACATAGAAATATACGTACATACTGAGGATCTGATTACGTATTTATCATTAATTATTTAACGATTCTGTAGCACAGGCACTAAGTTCGCAACAAACAAACAGAAAGGTTCATTAGCAAAATGTACTCATTAGTTAATGTTTCTACTCAGTCAAAGAATATTTGGAACCTACCTCAACATAACATTTACATAATTGCGATGCGCCCTATACAAATATTTACTATTTTTATATCATTTAATTTTAATATACAATATAATATAATTACTTTAATTCATAATAATATTCAAAGCTGACATGATTTTATTGGCAAATCTTTATTTATTGTCTCACTTATTCAAGAACAACAACTTTTTAATAACAAAATTTAGCTAGTATGGACTGTGAGCTGCTAGTGCAGCACTTTATGACACCTTTTGCACACCATTGTCATGGTAGAATGTACTGAACCGGTATTGTAATTATTGACATCTGTTGTATGTACTACATTCTGCAAATAAATGAATTTGAATTTGAATTTGAATTAATTAATAGACTATATTGCACACAGAAGGCCAGTACTCGTAATAAAGGTTCGATCAAAACTCAATTTCCGATCAACCCTCGATGTAGCAAGTGTCATAGAAGGTATTTTAGTCGTATTTCGAGTTTATCGGAACTGAATTGTGACCTAACTTTTATTACGAGAATTAGCCTTCTGGAATTGTGTATTGTGACTCATAGCATATCATTTTAAGTATTTAATGGGGTAGTACCTAGTGTAATATGTCTGCTGAAGTTCCGCAGGGTAGCGCTTTATGCCCTTCGCTCTGCACTATTTTAATACATTTTATTTCTAAATCATTACTCTCATCCCACTATTTTTACGCAGATGATCTTCAAATGTATACGCAAGGTCCATTAAACAAATCGTCTGAAGCTTTCTCTGTTATGAACTTGGATTTGGTCGGGTGTGTAAACGGAGCAGCCAATATGGACTAGTTTTTAATCCATCAAAGACCAAAGTCATTACCAAGGGCAGTACCAGGACTCACTCTAAAGTCCACTGGTCTGAATTACCTGACATCAAATTGAATGATGTTGTACTCTAGATTAGTACTTGTGTTAAGAACCTAGGCGTTCTGATTGATAGTACTTTGTCCTGGGGGCCCCCAATTACTCGCAGTTAGTAGAAGAAACTTTCTACCAAGAGTCCCTGCTCCTTCCTTTACTCGATTACGCTGATGTCAGCTATCACGATATTACTGAGGAGCAACTTGACAAACTTGAGCGCGGAATCGAGGGCGAGAATTCTGTGAGGCCGCGCTATCACTCCGGTCGACTGCTGCGGAAGAATGTTTTTTCTTTAACGTATTAGTTCTGCGGCCAGATCTGCTATTATAACTACAAAATTATACATACTTAACTACGCTTATCAACGTTTGCATTTATTTTCGTACACCGATCAATAGATGTTACTATTATGCCGTAATAAAAATATTTTAGACATGCAAATTATGTAAATCTTTATTTTTCGTTTCCATTTTCCACTGGTCACCGCTCCCGGTGGCCCTGAGTGACACACATCCAAGATACTTAAAGTCGTCGGAATCTTTGAAGCTTATGGTACTTAGCCACACTATTACAAATCTCACGGTGCTGTCAGATTATGGAACGCCTTGCCGATATCCATAAGACGTGCCCAAACACTGACAGCGTTTAAGAATATGATTAAAGGTCCCTACTTAGGTTCATAAGTACTCTTTGCTTTCAATAGCTGTACATGACTGTACATGGCTTCGCACGGGTGCAATGTAGATACTACTAATACTACTGATGTGGTGTCAGTGTGGACTAATTAATTATACTATTATTATGATTGGACTATACATCTTTATATGCAATATTTATAGTCCCACTCCGATCCTGCCGGTCGCTGCCACCCGTATATTACCCGTAAATAGATGGTTAATATTAGGTCTTTACCTATGAAATTGCCGTTTTGTATGCAATAAGTGAAAGTACTTATTTTTTCAAACTTTTTTTGCTGCAAGAGCTTTGGTTGGAAGCTCTCCCTCATCCGCCATACTCACCAGACCTTGCACCTATCGACTATTACTTATTCCAAAATTTAGACAACTTTTTAGTGGGTAAAATATTCAATTCCCGAGAGGCAGTACAAAATGCCTATAAAGAGTTTGTTGCCTCCCGTCCAACTGATTTTTACAAGAAGGGCATCAATAAACTGCCAATGCGTTGGCAAGGATGCGTCGATTGCATGGGTGATTACTTCGAATAACAGAAATAAAAAAGTTTGAAAAAATAATTACTTTCACTTATTGCATACAAAACGGCAATTTCATAGGTAAAGACCTATTAATAGCAAAAAAAAATATTTTTGTCTTTGACAAATATTTAAAAAAAATCTATGAAATTCGTAGTGTTCTCGGTTAGAAAAAAAAATTCAATCATGTGGTTTAATTATACCCATCTACACATTCAAACTGAAACGTCTTTGTGTCCCCTTTATAATAGGGTAATATTAGGATTTATCAGTGAAAAAATTAACGCTGTGGTAACTATCCACCACGAAATGTCTCAGAAATAAAATAATCGTTGAATTATCTCGTTGCCTTCTTCGTCATACTCATTAGTGAAACTTGTGATCATTTTATTCTTTTGTACTTGTTTGTTTTTGTTATTGTTTGTGCTATTCTTCAGTTGAGCAAATTGTTTCTTTTCTTTTTCTCTTCTATGTTATATCTGTAATTCCTTTTTTGGCTGTGTTTGTGTTGTGACTAATAAACGTATTTTCTTTCTTTCTTTCTTTCTTTGAACTACGCAAATCAGATCATCGCCTGATGAGAGATGAGCTGAGATAAAATATATCGATAAGCTCCGTCCAACACAATAACATCCGGCCCTCGATGGCGTGCTATGTTCAACCACGGGCCCGTTCGGATACGCAATGGCAGTATCCGTAAGAAATCAAAATATGAATATATTCCTCGTTCGCGTAGCTCATCAGCTCCAACAGTATCAGAATCACAAATCACAGTTCAGTTAGCAATAGTTAGTCATAAAGAGAAAGCGAAACAGTCCAAAGATACCAGCCAAGTTTTCAACTAGGTACTACCGGGTTGTACGCTAATTCTTAATACTTCCGGTCTTTCATCCAAGTTTTTTTTATGAAATTTGATACTATCTTATTGTTAGATAGCCGACAATGCGTACATGTTTTTTAACATATCTGCAGTTTAACCGTTATAGGTTTTTTATACAAATAAATAAAATAGGAGTGTCTGTTTGTAATATTAAAATAACCGCTTTTTACTAAATGCATATACGGTACATATGCCAAAATAACATTTTTTTCAATTTTTGTCTGTCTGTTTGGTCCGGGTAATCTCTGGAACGGCTGGACCGATTTCGACGGGACTTTCACTGGCAGATAGCTGATGACATAATGAGTAACTTAGGCTACTTTTTTAGACTAGCTTCGCCCCGCGGCGTTGCCCGCGGTTATGACAACAAACGCGGGTAACACCGCGGGTCTCAGCTAGTTTTTAAATATTTGTCATAGAAGAAAAAATAAATCTGTTTTTATTTTTGCTCATATTAACCATCTACTTCGGCCCAGTCGGTTAAGTTAACTATAATTTTTTTAATAGAAATTATAAAACAAATTATCAAGTACATAGAAACGGAAAAAAACTTAAAGGATGTAGGTTATAAAAAAAAAAATTGCAAAATTTCAGCAATTTTTATAAAAATCTTAAACGTTCAGTATTTTCAAAATATTTGGGTTTGGGATATCGTATTTCATAGTGAAATCTATCAGAACTGATGGCAACTTCAACCCCTTAAAGTATTTAGGTCGACCTACACATTAACCTGTATATGTTATATCTATACAAATAAATAAAATTGAAGTGTCTGTTTGTAATGTCAAAATAATGGGGTTTTTCATGCTCACACGGTTATTTGCACAATACCTATGCCTAGAAATCTGTTTTTTTTTTGTTAGTTCCTGGTAATCTTCCAAACGCCTGGACCGATTTGATAATATTTTACTACCAGGTAGCTGTCTATATGAGGAGTAACTTAGGCTATTTTTCATCTCAGAAAAACCCCTTAAAATTTTGCCCGGTCCGGGAATCGAACCCACTATGGCAGCGCTTTTCGAATTCCATGCGATCGAAGTCACGGGTACCAGCTAGTGTTTGTATGTATGCCTATATCTATATACTTACAGTAATGTAGCTTCAATACACGTAGTCTACCCAATGTTTCTTCTCATCTAAAGTCCATTTGTCCATCCGAAGGTTGCCTGTAAGAGATTGCTTTTAGCGACAAGGCCGCCCATTGTACAGTCAAGGGTCATAAATGCAGTAGCACCGTAACGTTCATATTCGCACGCCGGTTCTGTGCCTATCATTGTGTTGTGTTTCAATGCACACGCATATTTTAACTTTAAATACAGACGTATAATGTTGGTTGGTCACATGCATGTGTGCTCAACACTAGATACCTAGACACCTGATGGAAAGTGACCATCGCCGCCCATGAACGTCTGCAATTCAGAAGTCACAAACGCGTCGCCGCCCTTTTTTATACCTATTTTTTTATTTTCTTTTTTATTTATACGTTGTCTTCGTATTAAAGTTAAGTTTAAAAAGGCGGCATTTGCATCAGTGTCCACAACAAAAGGATTATTGATTACGTTGAAATTTGTCACTATAATCATATGCACGTAGCGTATGTGTGTGTGATATACGTTAATAGAAGAATTTCATAAGTCCAACTAGTTATAATGCTATAACATCGTAAAAATGCTACTGGACTTATGACCGCGACCGTACAGAAAACAAAAAAGAAATCCCCGTATCCCTGTTTTTGCACCACTTCATTAATGCTCGACACATTGGTTCTAGAGCGATGTTACAAAGCCAAATAAACAAACTCCACAGTTTTATGATATTACTATAAATATAAATAATACGCTTCGATGGCGAATCGAATTAAAAAGTCATCGGACCATTATCACCGAGTCCAATCTATTGAACTCGTCAAAACGAATCAGAAATGAAATGATACTTTAATAGCAGAAATTTGGTACATGGGCTAGTTATTAGAAGAGAATCACATATTTCGTCAGTCTGTTCTGACATGCAAAATTTGAAACGTACATGCATATTACAACAAAAGATTGATTTAATAACAAACTACTAAGCTCATGTCAATAAACAATTTACATATAGTCAAATATATAATTGCAATGTCAAATTTTTAATCCGATAATTTATTTCTAATACAGAACACAACATACATTAAAATACTATCAGGTGTTTTTGTATTTATCGCTCGTTTAGGTATTCGGTTACTGAGTATATCATTTTTTCCAAAAGCCATATTTCCTTTTAAATTTCAGTAGGGGCAACGTCTTTATGGTTGGTGGCAAGCTATTAAATATTTGATACACATATTATAAAAAAAATTTGGAATAGTGTAGTTCTGGGAACAAAATCCAGGACTAGTCTTTCACTGCCCCGAGTGTTGAGTCAGATGAGCCCGAACTCAGGGGAACCTTCTGGACTTCACAATGGATTAGATTAGATGGAATTTATAGTACTGGCATCCAAAATGCATAGTTACATTTACAAGCGGCGATTACAAGTAGGTTAAAGTTAACTTACAACATTTGTTTACATAGTTTACAACAAAGGAGTTTAAGAAAAACACGAAGCAACAAAATACAATACGTTTTTTATATTTTAGCTGTGGATTAAAAAAAGATAGTGACCGACCACAAACGCTTATTGCCACATCGAAAAACATGCCTCTGTTTCTGACTAAAATTCGTCGAAACGATTTCGGACCGTTATAAAACATATCAAAGAATTAAACATACCTTCATACTTAGTCAAGAAACATTACGGCTTTCAGTCAGTCGTTTCAAAAGCTTCCCTACGAACGCGTATTAAACAATTATAATATCATCGATAATTTTTAATCTACCCACATATTTAAAAAAGATTTATAGTTTTGATATCCGTTATTGAGTAAAATTGGTTTCATTGCATGACGTATTGCTCCGGAGTTGCGTTGTTTTAATAATATTTTAGTGCTCGAATGTGTGATAGTGAAATGGTTTACCAAATAAATGAAGGTAAGTTATGTAAAAACGTTTTTTTATTATAAATCACGCATTTAACGTTCTAACGCCTTAAATACTCAACCGATGTATTTGCGAGAGATTTCACAAGCTTATTATTAGTAAAAAACCAAAAAACCCGACCCGTAAATGTATAGGATTTAATAAACGGCGATTTTTATATTCCTAGTGTCACAATTATGACGAATCCAACGACATCTTTCTAGCTAAGATCCAATAACCCTGCTTCTGATGCAGTGGAGGGTAATAAACTTCACTCTACCTACCCCTTTCAGTGTTAAAACCGTGAGTGGATGTACACTCCTAACTTTAATTAAACATCTACAAAGTAGACATTCTGTAAAACCAGATCACACACCTAACTAGTATAATAAATATACCTATCTTTTGTACTTTTTATCTATAATACTAGGGTCGGCAACAAGGTTTATCAGACCGTAAAAAAGATCATCATCATCAACAGCCTATAATAGTCCACTGCTGGACATAGACCTCTCCTTAGAAAGGAGGTTTTGACCTACTATACCACGCTGGCCAGACGGGTTGGTATACGGTTTGTGTCAAGTTTTCCTTCTTTTTGCAGTGCTGTCGTCCTGTGCAGTTTTTTCCCTCAGTCGGCTCTTACGACACCCACGGGATGAATAGGGGTGGTGACATTCCGTATTCTTAATCCGTCACCACACGGATATCATTTTATCAAAAAAGATCATTTTAGGGTTATTTTTTAGGAGTTTTTATACTGCTGGGTTTAATTTTAAAGGCTTTTTAAACTACTAAATTCAAGTAAACAAGTTCTGCATAGTTCTATACTTGTATTTTCATTTGGAATAAAAAAAAGTCGTGTATTTTTTACGTTGTACCTTCGTCATTTGTTAACTGGTCATCAATAATTCCTTTATAAATTGAACAAGTTGTAATCAAAGTTGGTCTTATTAACATTTTAAGTCAATATTGCAACTCTACGAGTGAAAATGTAATATTGAAGAATTGTGGTTTTTAAATCTCATTACGATCTAAAAGAAATTCAACTAGGTAAATCGTTTTTAAGTTAACATTTCGTGATATGTCAGGTATTTGATTCACGAAATTATTTGTGACTACCGTAGGTTTAATAATGAATTATTCAAAAAGTACCCAACATATTTTATACTGGCTTGTACCCGTGGACATTGGAAAGCGCTGCCTTAGTGGGTTCGATTCTCGGACTGGTCAAAATTTTGAAAGGTTTTCTGAAAGGAAAAATAGCCCAAGTTACTCCTTATATAGACAGCTACCTGGTAATAAAATCTTATCGAAATCGGTCCAGCCGTTTAGAAGATTAGCCGGAACAAACAGACAGACAGACAAAAAAAACTAGTTTTTAGGCATGGGTATTGTGCAAATAACCGTGTAAGCATGAAAAACCCCTATTATTATGACATTACAAACGGACACTTCAATTTTATCTATTTGAATAGACTAGCTGAACGCAGTGGTTTATCAAATACATTAAAACGTGTATTTTTTAACACGTGAGTAATTACCCAAATATTTTTACGACTAGTAAACCGTATATAGTAGGCCAAAACCTCCTTTCTAAGGACAGGTCTATGTCCAGCAGTTTACTACCATGGGCTGTAATGAGTTATGATATGTGATGTAGCAACCGTGTTTGGATTAATATGATTCGTTTTAACAAGTCCAGTAGATTATGCTGGGTAACGATGGTCTGATGTGGATGGCCTGGAGGTGGATGTGGAATTCTTTTACTTTTTAATCCGGTTCTATCAGTGCTTTTAATCCGGTTCTATCAGTGCTTGTCTTTTTTTGGTTTATTTAACTGAATTTTTTTTCGTGTGTTTATTCCTTGTATGAAATTTTAGTTTCTTTTCCTTAAAATACACAAACCCGAAATATTCTATTATATATCTATCTAATAATATAAAGCTTCAAGAGTTTGTTTGTTTGTTTCTTTGAACGCGCTCATCTCTGGAACTACTGGTTCGAATTGAAAAAATATTTTAGTGTTGCATAGCCCATTTATCAAGGAATGATATAAGCTATATATCATCGCGCTCTCACCAGTAGGAGCCGAGCGGCAATGAATAATGTTGCAAAACCGGGTCAGCTTGTTCTAAATTATGAAGTTTAACTATTTAAAATGTCAATATAGTGAGAAGAATGAATTCTATTAATTTATTATTAAACACAATATATATTTAGTTATTTATTGTTGTTATTAGACGGCGAGCCCCCGGCGAAGCGCGCGACCCCCTCAATACGACTCGATGCTGGTTTCAAATGGAACTTACAAGTAAGTGTCTTACAATATCTCTCTGCTCTCTGCTATCTGACTGCACGGATGCCGTAGTGGTTTAAGCGGTCGCCACGCCGCTTCCTACTACGCCGAGTGTTGTGGGTTCAAACCCCACATGTGACGATTTGACGACACTTTGTGTGATCCACAAATTGTTGTTCTGGGTCTGGGTGTTCTTTGTGTCCGTTTCATGTATGTTTGTAAAGTCCCCCGCGACACAGGATTTATTCCTAATGCGGGAGTTGTCTTTAAAAAAAAAAAAAAATTGAATTTATCAGCTGTTCACCGCAGTTTTACTTGCGTATGGCCGGCTCGACCGGAGTGATGCCACGACCTTACAGAAAACAGCTGTTACTTAGTGAAGATATCAATAGGTCCAAATCCCCTTCTGGTTGTAGTGAGGGGCGGGGGGTGGGGGGACTGTACATTAATATTGCCGTGCTGTTGGTACTGTGGTTATGGATTATGACTGTTTATTTATTTATTCAAAACTTAATGCATATGTTGTACAAAGCGGACTTAATGACATGGGGCATTCTCTCTCTCACCTTCACCTTGGTGATGTAGAAATATGATGTGGTTCAAAAATAAAATATTAAATTTGAGATAGAATTGAAGAAGTACCTATACACAATACATACACAATATATATACAGGGTTACAAGAAAAATCGTGCTAGATCCGTTAAGGGCGTGGAGTACCCATCATTTCTGACTTATTTCCACTATGAAACACCCTACCCTAAACCATTTTTTTTTTTTTACTTTCAATTTTCTTATATTTTTTTTTATTTTTTTTACTTTCGCTTGTCTACTACGGTCTATTCAATTAACTTATGCACTATTTTAATGATTGACGTCCTAAAGCATCTTATTACACATGCAAAAATGCAATAATAATAATAATAATAAGATACACAAAATAAACAAAAATAAATGTGGTAGCCTAAAAATCAGCAATTTTCAATAAAAAAATTAAAAGACGAATATCTCGAAAAGGGTTAAGTTTAGGGTAGGGTGTTTCATAGTGAAATAAGTCAGAAATGATGGGTACTCCACGCCCTTAACGGATCTAGCACGATTTTTCTTGTAACCCTGTATATATACATAACATAAATGAACCAGAGGTGGAGATCGATTCCTTGAACAAAAATTGATTATAATCACGATCATATGAATATCTGGAGGTTATTGCCTCGGTGGTGCAGTTGTAGCGTATGCGACTGCTGTGCTGAGGTCTCAGTTTCGATTCCCGGGTCGGACCAAATGTTTGGATGATCTGTAAATATTCTTTTTGGAGTTTGGATGTTTTTTATGTAAAATTATGTGTGTATAAGTATTCTATCAGTCAATCTAGCTTTTATAGTACAAGCTCTGCTTAGTTTGAAACTAGATGGCGTTGTGTGTAAAATTTCTGAAAATATTTTTTTATTTATGTCGTATTTCGAATATCGGCTTTGTCATTCCGTAGCCAAATTGACAAAAACGAAACCCATAGTTACGTCTTATCGAATAAAAACAATGACTTCGCTAAATTGACTGTTCCACCAGATATGAGGTTCGATTCTTCACGCTGGACGAAAAATTGTGGGGTAATTACGATCATATGAATATCTGGAGGTTATTTTCAGACCTTGGCGAACGCAGCGGACGCTGTTGAGTCGGGAGGTAAGTCCCCGGTGTCGGCGCTGAACGAGCTCGGCGTCAAGGTGCACTACACCGTGCTGAGGCAGGGCGGGCCCGCTCACTGCCCCAGCTTCACTGTTGCTGTCACGGTGAGTCCCACTTGCCACCAACTGCTCAGAGACTAGAAACTCTTGCTGCAAGAAAGGCTGATGAGATAACCCACACTTCTTCTATAGCTCCCTAAAGTTTCTCGGTTTGATTTTTACTGTCATAGTTTCTTGTTCATCATCAACAGTCTTTAATAGTCCACTGCTGGACATAAATCTCTTCTTAGAAATGAGGTTTTGGCCTACTATACCACGCTGGCCAGACGGGTTGGTATAGTCTTTGTGTTAAGTTTTCCTTCTCTTTGCTGTGCTGTTGTCCTGCGTAGTTTGCTATATTAGTATTGTCCTGCGTAGTTTGCTATATTAGTCGACTCTCGGACTAGCGGTGGTGATACTCCGTATTTTTAATCGTCATCACATGGAAGCCTTCCATAACTGGTGCTAATTATGTAAACTGCTGCCGTGTCTTCCCAAGAGTCTGTTAATGGTATGATCTCGTGCAGGTAGCTGATATGAACTTCGAGGGTTGGGGCCACAGCAAGCGCGAGGCGCGGGCGTCTGCGGCTCGAGCTTGTCTAGCGGCCCTACTGGCTCGAGCCGGCAGGGTGCTGCCCGCACCTTCGCATAACCAGGACTTCACCAGCGATGACCCGGCTAAGTTCCCAGGTACGTGACACACACTTCATCATCATCATCGTCATCGACAGCCTTTACTAGTCCACTGCTGGACATAGGCCTCTCCTTAGAAAGGAGATTTTGGCCTACTACACCACGCTGGCCAGACGGGTTGGTATAGGGTTTGTGTCAAGTTTTCCTTCTCTCTGCAGTGCTGTTGTCCTGCGTAGTTTGCTCCCTTAGTCGCCTTTTACGACACCCACGGGATGAATAGGGGTGGTGACACTCTGTATTCTTAATCGGTCACCACACGGACACACACTTAATCTCTTTATAACAAAATTGAGTTTGTTTAGTTTATAAAGAGTTCACAATCTTTTACTGACAATCTCAGTAAAAATGGAGAGTAACTTTTTTTGGTTAAGGGGGCAAAAGAGCACATGGGTCAGCTGATGGTAAGTGATTACCGCCGCCCGTGGACACTTGCAACTCATGAGACATGAGTGTGCTGCCGGTGTTTGACACTCGGGGGGAGTCAAACGGTGTCCCTGATCCTTGGAGGGTTGCTCTCCTGTAACGTCGTTAAATGCAACGAAAGATTACCACTGATTTTCTGAGAATCCGTGGCATCATTCCACTGGAACGCCCAGATGTGTCGAAACATGGCTTTCCACGGTAAATGTCATAAAAATCTGTCGTACGACTGCAGTCGTGTCATCTCATTAACAGCCACCCCAAATGATTTTATTGTTCTACGATGTTATTTTAATTTCAGTTACATGTTTACAAGTCAGCTAAATCTCTGTTTCAATGCGTGTGTACATGATAGCTCACGATTAATATTGGACTATAAACACTAACACAATTGACTAACGAGAAGAGTAATTAAATAGTATCTGAACACGCAACAGTAGTGTCACTACACTAACGCGTTGAATATAGTTGACATTCATTTGTCGCTGGTGGAGTTTCTTTGGATTTGATACACACCTAAAAACAAACATCACTCTCTAGTCTCGATTCTCTATGTAGTATGCCTTGCTTCCCACGCTCATGCTGGTTTCTCTGAAGATTTCCGTGGAAGAGCCATCCGTCTGCACAAATGCGCCAACTCGACCGGACCTCACAGGAAACCAGTGTTAAGGTGGTCATGGGTGGCGGTGGTCACTTAACATTATTGCATGGATGGCGTAGTGATTAAAGCGGTCGCCACGTCGCTTACTACTACGCTGAGTGTTGTCACACATGGGACGACACTTTGTGTGATCCACAAATTGTTGTTCTGAGTCTGGGTGTTCTTTGTGTCCGTTTCATGTATGTTTGTAAAGTCCCCCGCGACACAGGACACATTCCTAATGCGGGAGTTGTGTTTTTTAAATAATATAATATATAATAATTAAATCAATAAATTACGTGACCTGTTGTGGTAGTAAAAATGTTTTATTGTTTTAGTGTCGGAGTTTCAATGCTTGGAGACGAAGAACACGTCCTCTGGAACCGGGCTGGACAACAAAACGGCGGAGACCAATGGAACCAGTAATGGAAATGGTAAAATCTGATGCCACCCGCAGCTATCTTTTATCTTTAGGTCTACTGGAAAGACTAGAGCTATCATCAACCTTAAGTTCATTAATGGTAGATAGTGGTCTTACATCTCTCTGTCTGACAAGGCCTCCTTTCCTATTTAATATTTTTCAAGTATATCTTTTTCATTTTATTTTTTCCTATGACCTGTCTCTGCATTTCTCTGATCGGTGTCATCCTGTCTCACTGACTCTTTTAGTCCAAATTTTAAGCGCATACTCATAATCGCTTAGAGCAGCAAATTCCCCACATCTCTACGACCTGTCAAGGTATCTGTAACCGAGATACATTTCTAGTTTACTACTCCTGATGGGATCCTTTCACATCCTGTCTCCCAGTTACCCATCCACTTTATGACCTTACGTTACGTTGTTTTCTGTTCTATGTCTCCTTGCAACTGGAATCCCTCGATCAAGGTCACGGGTGTAGGCCTCGTTTACCCGACTTAGAAAGGAGGAGGTTCTGATATTACTGTTTTGTTTCGTGTTAAGAAGATAATTATGTTTTCGCTATTTGTAAGCAGATTTCATATTAATTTAACCTTTAAGAGTAGGAAATTAAATGAAGAAGAATATAGCTATTAAAATTTATTAACTTAGACGCGTTTGAAGCAGTAGCTAGTTTTTTTTTTATTAAATATGTTGGTTAAGTGTAGTCCTATAAAATTCTAGTATTATTTTTTTTAAATTGAAGATGATAAGATAACTTTATTTCAGATTTTTGTAATAAATTAAAAAGTATTTAACTTGTACGTGTAACAGTGGTGGGTGGTCGTCCCCCCACTCCTCCACCGTCCCCGCGCACGGCCCTGTTCGGGTCGACGGTGGCGCCCCCTGCCAACAAGAGCCCCATCAACGTGCTGTACGAGAATTACTCGGGGCTGGCCTTCCAGTGTACCTTCGGGGACGGCACACCACTCGAAGCTAGCCAAGGTGAGGATCTATCTGATGATGAATGAGTGTTAATAAGAATTAAAAAAAAACAGTGGCACTCCAGGAATGGCGACCGAAGTGAACCATATTTGATTAAAATTATGTAAATTAATGTAATTTTAAACAAATCTTTGTACCCAAAGTCGCTCGTGTACAAGTCTAGTGCACACTATTTAATAGTAAAACCTATGATATGCTATTCCAAGGGCTTCTATAGTAACATACATAAATCTGTAAAACTGTAATCTAAGATATTGTTGAAATAGTAAACATCAAATAGTTTATAACTCTAGAAATACTTTTTAAATGGAATTATTTAAATTTAATTCTTTAATTTGTCATTTCTGACACTAGTGTGTTTACGTGTCATGTCTGCGTTTCTTTTGCTCACTTACCGGTGAATAAACGAGGTTAAACCTACATCTCGAGTTCATTATTTCCCAACAGAAATGATCCCGATATTTCTTAAGAATCGGGTATTGTAATATTAGATTTCTTTGACCCCATCGCTGTACTTGAATCTGTCACAAGTGTCAAACGGTACCACTTTGATTAGATGGTCTATAAAGCCATCACATACTAAACTCGATAATAAACTAAACGACTGAAATCTTCGATCAACAAATAATATGCTTCTTCTTTGCCCCCCTCACACTTCCAACTTCATCAATTCTTCCTTCTATGTACAGTCAATTCTTCTCTGGAATGCGCTCCCAGTTGAAATTAGGATGTCCACTAACCGGTTTACGTTCAAGAAGAAAGTACAAGAACTTCTACAAAATAAGTTGGCAGAAAGGGCACATCGCTAGTACCCGACTATGTATTTTGATATTTATGTATTTATAAATGTGTATATTCATCTATCGTATGTGTATACTTGAGACCTCTATGTATATATGTAGTTATGAATATAGTATTTTATTTATAGTATTTATAGTAGTAGTGTATATATGTAAGTTAGATTTATCCTACATTAATAAGTTTAATATAAACAAGTAAAATTATCTGTTTTCTCTTGCACCTACAGCTTCATTTTTCTAAATCACCCAAAGGTCGACTGGCAGAGAATGCCTTGGGCATTAAGTCCGCCTTTGTACAACTAGTGCATTAAGTTAAATAAATAAATAAACTAGTATATCTGTGTTATGACTATTCTAAAATGTACAAGAGTGAACAGACAATACATCTCACACACGGCCGTCTGATCCCAAACTAGACAGTACCCGTGCTATGGTAACCAGACTGCTAATAAACATACTTATATATTTCTAAATACATACATATTATAGATAAATTACACCCGACACAGAATAAATGACCGTGCTCATCACACACATATTTGTCCTGGGTGGGAATCAAACCCACGGCCTCCGGTTTGGCAGTCAGGGTCACTAACCACTAGACCAACAGGCCCGTCTAACTATGATGTCAGTTACAGGACCTTAATATTTTAAAGTTCTAATAGATTAATAATGTAAATCCCGTGTAGTGACGGATTAAGAATACGAAATGTCACCACCCCTATTCATCCCGTGGGTGTCGTAAGAGCCGACTATGGGAGAAAACTACGCAGGACGACAGCACTACAGAGAGAAGGAAAACTTGACACAAACCCTATACCAACCCGTCTGGCCAGCGTGGTATAGTAGGCCAAAACCTCCTTTCTAAGGAGTGGGCTATGTCCAGCAGTGGACTAGTAAAGGTTGGTGATGATGGTGATGATGATGATGATGATTTATTTATAATATAAAAAAATGAAAATAATTGGTACAGGAATTTTGTTTACGCGATACAGTAGCTTTCTTTTATACGTAGTTTCAAATGCCTCCGCCAGATGGCGTTAAAATTAGTTTTGTCCCCACAACATGCTGAAGATTCACGGTTATTATTGAAGTATTTGTTTGTTTGCAGCGCCTCTGCAGTTGAGCCACAGCATGAGGTTCAAGGTCGTCTGCCAGATCAAGGAACAGAAATTCGAGGGTTATGGTGAGTTGGTATCGATGGTGGGCCTTCCAGGAGTGGGCTCGGGGAACCCCTTGGTCGTAAGGCAGTTTTCAAAATTATTACACAGATTCTCGGTATTACTTTTTATTTTGTTGTTTATTATTATTTTATCCATAAGGGTATGGAAAAAATTAAAATTAAAAAAAATTGTAAACATTATATCTATAATAATATAATATAATATTTATAATAATATCATAGTATTTTTTATAATATTTTCGGACATCTGACACACCATCATCACACCATAAACTAAGCAGAGCTTTTACTATGAAAGCTAGATTGACTGATAGAATACTTATATTTTTTTTAATATACATAGAAAACACCCAAACTCCGTTGCAGATGTGACCACCAGACCTTGCACCTACCGACTATTACTTTTTCCAAAATTTAGACAACTTTTTAGTGGGTAAAAAATTCAATTCCCGAGAGGCACTACAAAATGCCTTTGAAGAGTTTGTTGCCTCCCGTCCAGCTGATTTTTACAAGAAGGGCATCAATAAACTGCCAATGCGTTGGCAAAGATGCGTCGATTGCATGAGTGATTACTTCGAATAACAGAAATAAAAAAGTTTGAAAAAATAAGTACTTTCACTTATTGCATACAAAACGGCAATTTCATAGGTAAAGACCTAATATTTGCAGATCAATACAAACATTTGGTCGGTCCCGTGAATCGAACCCGAGACCTGAGTCAACAGTCGCATATGCTACCACTGCACTACAGAGGCAGTCGAATCTATTATGAGAGTTTGATGACGTCACTAACCGATAAACACACATAAAGTAACAGAGTTATTATTACGTTAGTAACAGCTGACAAGTTAATGTCACGTGATAATTAGCTACTATTTAAAGTTCTTTGTGTAACCGACTTCAAAATGGAGGAGGTTATCAAGTCGGATGTTTATATTTTTTATGTGTATGTTCGAGCATAACTCCGTCATATATAGACGACTTTTCAAAAAAAGGGGCGAATAGGCGAAATGGTCCCATTTAAATTTCAGACAGATTTGATGATGAGTTTTGGACACAGAAAATAGAACTCTTCAAAAATTGACAGTATATCAACTGCGATTACTGACAGGTTTTTAGTGCTCTCTGTTAGTATTGTTTGAAGTCGGTTTTTTGTGGTTTTATCTTGTTATATTGAAATAAATGAGTAATCAGTGTGTATATAGCAGTTGGCCTGTAGTGAGTGTGTGGTGCCCCCCAGGCTCGAGCAAGAAGCTGGCCAAGCTGGCAGCGGCACGAGCAGCCCTGGCAGCGCTGGAGGGGGGGCGCACGACCCTGGGTGGGGAGGGAGGCTCCGCGGCTGGACCTGGCGCCGCGCTCCAACAGACGCTGGCTGACCACATCGGGAAGTGAGTTCTGCTATCAATTTAACTCTTTGATAACTTCTTTACAACTTGTGTTTTTTTATTATGATAGAGTGGGGAAGAGGAGCAGACGGGTCACCTGATGGAAAGTGACCATCGCCGCCAATGAATGTCTGTAGCTCAGGGGGTCTGCAATTAGTTGTGTTGGTAAACTTGTCCTGCCTGGAAATTGAACCCAGCATGGGTTAACAGTCAGGATCACAAAATGATGTTGCACGTATTGATAACCAGTTGTTGTCCCGCCTTGTGTTTTCATCCCTTAAGAGTAATGATGATATTCGTAATGGAAAATGTACCAGTAGGAAATATTTAAGTTATATATGGATGCGAGAAGCCCAAAATCGATCCAAGTGGCGTGCAATGGGAGAGGCCTATGTCCAGCAGTGGACTGCGATAGGCTGATGATGATGAAGCGCAAACAGTGCATGTATTAGGGTTCCTAGGTTTAAAATAAATGTTTTCGCTTGAACTATTAAATATAACAGCTTAGAGTACAGCCTGAGTGGTCCTCCATTATTATAATAAAAATACCTTGACAAACCTCACACATGCCTTTGAATTGCCTGACGCGATGACGTTATGACCAGATTGGACTGGCCCTGGTCACAGACTGACTGGTAATTGTAACACGCTCGCCGTAATTGGTTTTTTGTTTGTACAATTTGGACAATTACTACACAATCCCTTTTCCACCAGATTGGTTTAATTAATATATGATATTTTGCCACCAGATTGGTAAACGAGAAGTTCAACGAGCTGATGAAGAACGACGTGGTGCATTCGAAGCGGAAAGTTCTCGCCGGGATCGTCATCACCATCAATAACAGGATCGAAGACGCCAGGGTGTGTACATCATCATCATTAAAGTGGCAAAACTGTTGGTCGAGTGATTAGAGACTGACTGCTGAAGAAGAAGAAGGTGGAGGTCAGGGATTCGATTCCCATTCAGGATCGTGTGATGTGCACTATCATTTTTTGTGTCTGGGTGTAATTTATCCATAACATAATATGTGTACTAGCTGACCCGGCAAGCGTTGTTTTGCCATATACATTTTTTTTTCAAATTGACAAAAAAAATAATACGGGTATGAAAAATAGATGTTGGCCGATTCTCAGACCTACCCGATATGCACACAAAATTTCACGAAAATCGGTCCAGCCGTTTCGGAGGAGTTCAACCACGCACACTCTGACACGAGAAGTTTATATATTAGATATAAGTATGTTTATCAGCAGTCTGGTTACCATAGCACAGGCTCTGCCTAGTTTTGGATCAGATAGCCGTGTGTGAGATGTATCTGTTATATTATTACTATTTGGTATGAATAAATGTTTATATTTCCAAGTGTAACAGTGTGTTGTGTGGTCGGCAGGTGATCGCGGTGACGACGGGCACCAAGTGCGTGTCGGGCGAGCACATGTCCGTCACGGGCCGCGCCGTCAACGACTGCCACGCGGAGGTACGCCCCCCCACCCATCACCCACCCATCACCCACCATTACCTCGTCTACGTAACTTGTCTTGTCTTGGTATATCCGCGAATTGTTCAGAACGCCAACCCAGATCCTATACAGTACTCGTATAGTTTTCTTTAACATTGTTTACGGACTAAAAAAGGGACCTTTGGTTTGTTTCGGGGTTTTTCCTAGAGTGGTGAGTCTTAGATAATGCCGGCTCCTTCTAGCTGTAAAGTCCGACTTGTAAAAATTTCTTAAAAATTTACTTAGGGGAATAAATATCGGGAACATGGGGTTCCCACACGGGGTCGTCTACTCGTCTGTAGATGGCCCGAGGTATGTCGGGGCACCAGGGACTTCCTTTCTAGGGTATACCTGGTTCCCCGGCTATTAGTACCCGAGACGGCGTGCGGTTTTAGTCGGTTCGAGTCCGACATGCCACCGACAGGTGGTATCCGAGGGGATTTCCGCACGGAAAAAAAAAGGGGAATACATATCATTTATAATTTAATTCGTGTACGAATGTGGACCTAGTTTTTTCGCAGCTGATGTGGATACGAGTGACCTTGACACGACATGACATTTCTTCACCAGAATCTCTGCAGAATCAGTAGTAGATCTAACTACTGATTCTGCAGAGATTCTGGCGAAGAAAGGGGGGAACGGCGAAAGGGGGGAGTTAGAGAGAGTGGGTAAGAGATGAACGAAAAGTAAGGGAAAGTAGGTAGGAGAGAGAGGGGGCAGGGAAGTAGAAAGAGAGTTCGACATGCTGTTTACTCGCTCAGTCCTTGTTTTTGTCCGACTTAAAAGAAAGGTTAAGTTTGTCGATTCCGTGAAGAAACGGGCCTATGTTCCAACACAAAGGTAAGATCCCTCCATCCCGGCGAGGTGATGACGCCAGGCGCAGTAAACAGCGCAAGAAATTTTATTGCGCGATTCAGAATGAGTAACTAGGCCGTAGTTCGCTATGTCTTCGTTAGATGTCACTGAAGTGTGTTTTTGTTTCGTTGTATGTGGAAATTGCAACAATTTGTATTTTTCTTCTATTTGTTATTAAACAATACACGTATGATAATTAGTTGCGATTTTTATTACGTTATATGAATAGTTAAACATCATCATCATCATCAACAGCCGATAATAGTCCACTGCTGGACATAGGTCTCTCCTTAGAAAGGAGGTATTTGGCCTACTATACCACGCTGACCAGACGGGTTGGTATAGGGTTTGTGTCAAGTTATCTTCTCTCTGCAGTGCTGTTGTCTTGCATAGTTTGTTCCCTTATAGTTAAACCGCCGTAAGCTTGGCCCTCCTGATGGTTTGCGGGACGCGGGGCGGGTGATGCGCTCGGCTATACATGACACGATGTACTAACTCGATATCTTCAGATTTATTTGTTTGAGATTTAATCTACACACGATGTAATAAAAATCGAATTTATTTCCATGTATTATAATGTCAGTGTATTGTAAGTTTTTATGATTAATTGTAAAATTTAATACTGTAAAATAATTTTAATAAAATCACCTTATCTTCATCATGTAAATTATATTCAGATACAATTTTAAAAATTAAGTGAAATAATAAATATTCTTTATTAGAACTTTAACAGTAGAACCTCTGTAAGCCGAACTTCAAGTTTTTAAATCTTTTTGTGACACAGAGTCGACAGATTATCCATGTTGCAAAATAATACCGTGTGTAGCAGTCTTAAGAAAAATAACACGTACAGCCATGCTTTCACGTCAGTCACTGCCGGCGGACAACGACGCACTAGCTAATTGGTTGAATGCACCCCCGCCCCGCGTCCCCCAAACCATCAGGAGGGCCAAGCTTACGGCGGTTTAACTATAGTCGGCTCTTACGACACCCACGGGATGAATAGGGGTAGTGACACTCTGTATTCTTAATCCGCCACTACACGGATAATAGTTAAACAGTAACTTAAAACTATTTTAATTAATAACTTACTACATTGTTGTTTAACTTTGGCAATATGAATCAAAAGTTTTATATTTGTCATAAATAACGTAAAAGCGTATACGGAGACAAATAGAGACCCTCTCGGATACCTGCGGATACGATACATCACTATTACAGACTTTAGTTGCCGTGTAATAGATGAATTATTTATTTGAAATCTATATACAAACAATATTACGATTTAACATAGTGTTTTGTCAATTTTTCTTCTGAAGTTTTTCAAGGAAAAATGAACAATATAGTATATGCATATAAGACTGCAAGGATAGCGCAGTGGTTTAAACTGTCGCGTCGCCGCTTTCTACTTCGCTGAGTGTTGTGGATTCGATCCCCACATGGGACAACACTTGTGTGATTCCCAAATATTAATATTGTTCGTATCTGTAAAGTCGCTGCCACACGGGATATATTCCTAGTGCTGGAGATATTTACATGTCGTAGTGTTGTAATAAAGCATCAGTCGTTGTAGGAAGCGAAGTGTGTCGTGCAAATGATCATGGAACACTGTTCCAGGTGGCTGCGCGCCGATGTCTCCAGAGGCACCTGTACGCACAGCTGCTGATGTACGCCAACAGCCCTGACCCCCTGCAGCCTATCCCGGAGTGCGACCTGGAGCCGGTGGGGGACGGGGGGGGCTACAGGATGCGCGCCGACCGCCAGGTGCACCTCTACATCAGCACCGCCCCCTGCGGCGACGGCCGCATCTTCAGCCCGCACGAGCAACAGGACGCTGAGCCCGACAAGCATCCCAACAGGTATCCAGTAGTGACTACTACTCCCTTTCTATCTCTCACTCTCACACCGCTACACTACCTTGTTGTTAGTCCTTTCTATCTTGCAAGGCCTTGAACTCTCTATTTTCCTGCCCCCTCCCTCTCTCTCACCCACTTTCCCTCCCTTTCGTCCATCTCTTACCTACTCTATCTCCCTTTCCCCCCTCCCCCCCCCCCCCCCTTCCCCCTTTTTCTCTCTTCCCCCCCTCTCCCTCCCTTCCCCCTCTTTATCCCTTCCCCCTCCCTTCCCCCCTCTTTATCCCTTCCCCCTCTCTCCCATTTCCCCCCCTCTCTTTTCCAGAATCAGTAATAGATCTAAAGCACATGGGACAACTTAAATGAGACGTGTATGTTGTTGTAGACTGGCGCGGGGCCAACTGAGGACCAAAATAGAGTCGGGGGAGGGAACCATCCCCGTCAAGAACTGCACCAATATTCTACAGACTTGGGATGGAGTTATGCAGGTCGGTTGATCTTTTATTATGTATACTGTTCACCCATCCCTCCTCAAATCCCATAAGACAAGAGTTATTGGATGAAACTACTTTGATAACACTAGTGATGGTACTGAGGAATGAGCAGGTTGGGAGAACTCAACAATCTTTGTTGTATGGATATGGATAAGATACTTTTGAAACGTCACAATTGTTTACTGGTTACAAGGTATATAACAATTAACATGTTCCTAAAAAATGGAGAATATGGGGTACTCTCCATAGGAGGGAGCTGTGCAAATTGACGGCAAAGAGTTCTGTCGAATGGTTTCATTGACTTTTTTTCTAATTTTTCAATCGAGCTATATATGGAAATAGTTTTTGGTCTTTAGTGTGAGATAAGATCTTTTGAGATATGATAAAATTGCTTGCTGCCGTCGATATACCTACAGACACATAATTACACGCTTATCTTTCTATATAGCTGGGATAGGCAGAGTCGAAATTTTCAGTGACTTGATGATTCAAGATTCCAGAGTATATTGAAGTACTTCGTTTAGAAGAAAATGTAGAATTACAGAACAACGCATTTCAGTAACAGTAAAAAAAGAAAGAGTAAACTAAGTAGGATAACAGCACTGCAAAGAGAAGGAAAACGAAACAAACCCTATACCAACCCGTCTGGCCAGCGTGGTATAGTAGGCCAAAACCTTATTTTTAAGGAGAGGCCTATGTCCAGCGGTGGACTAGTATAGGCTGTTGATGTGATGTGTATGATGAAAAGAAATATAAATAGTTTTGGGTGAGATATTTTATATGTAACCGTGTGTGTGTCAGGGCGAGCGGCTGCTGACGATGTCGTGCTCGGACAAGGTGGCGCGCTGGTGCGTGGTGGGGCTGCAGGGCGCGCTGCTGTCGCGGCTGCTCGCGCCCGTCTACCTGCACTCGCTCGTGCTCGGCTCGCTGCTGCACCCGCACCACATGTACAGGTACGAGCCGGACCTATCGCGCTGCCTTGCGGTACTCCAAACGTATTCCAACCGTTTATTGTGCATAAATTACTAGACCTTGCATCATTTGTTTGTCGATAGTTCCCAGAGCTATCCGAAATAATGTGGCTAGGTACATTTCTACCATAAATCACATATAATTTTAGTTTTGACTAATAATAGTCGAACATAATAATAAAGCTTGACGTAGTCGAATGCTGATGTAATGTCAAACTACCTAAAATTGTACGGTAGTTTATACATTTACATATGATTGTGAAATATATTATCTCTATATATTTTTAGGTTTCTGCCAATAATAAGCAGATAATGTAGTAAAAGGCTTTATTTTTTTTTATGTTAGTAACGTCTTTATTCTCAGTTTCTATGTTTATTTGTTATTTCCTTAGACGTGACGATATTTAAAGTCAAGCCTTTCCCAATCAATTCTCACAAAATGCTTGTTTCCAATACTTTTAGTTTTATTTTTCTTATTTTTCATGCCATCCGCTAAGTAACCGGGTACGTTGACAATAGTGTCCGACTGAAATGGTTTACCAGCCGCACTTTCGGCCCTTGTTGTAGTTTCGGCCGTAACCGAAACCGAAACTCAAACGATGTGGCTGACTAGGTAATCCGAACAGGTTTTCCCATAGTAGTAATTAAGCACTTGAAGTTCACACGTAATTTAAGTTTTTAAAAAAATGGTAAAATAGGGGTACAGAATGTTATTCAACAATAATTGAGTGTCTATAAACAAGTAAATCTAAGGGTCGTATTACAAAATGATACTTAAAACTCTAGAAACGCTTAAAGTTAGTTTCCGCTTTATAACATTACGCTCAAGCGTTTCATGGGTTTTGAGAAACGTTCTGTAATACGGCCTACGTAATATTTGAATCATTTCTCTTATGTGTCACTAATCTATACTAATATTATAAAGCTGAAGAGTTTGTTTGTTTGTTTGTTTGTTTGAACGCGCTAATCTCAGGAATTACTGGTCCGATTTGAAAAATTCTTTCAGTGTTAGATAGCCCATTTATCGAGGAAGGCTATAGGCTATATATCATCACGCTAAGACCAATAGGAGCGGAGCACCAATGAAGAATGTTTCAAAAACGGAGAAAATTTATTACTATTGAGAGACGCAGACGAAGTTGCGCGCGTCAGCTAGTATTTAAATAAAACTCAACAACACGAGGCTCTGTACCTAATAATTGCCTTTGAGAGATGAGATATGAGATACAAGAAAAAACAAAACAAAAATAAAATTATTAATGCGTAAAACAGAGCTAACATGAGGAGATAGTCGTGGGAGAGTCATGCCTCGGCACATACAGAACAGACTCGACTGAAGTGACACCACGGCCTCACAGAAAACCTGTTTAAGCAGTTCTTTTATTGCTTTACACCGAGTGAGAAACGTTACCGGACCCCAAACTCTCCCCTTTTCCCTGATTCTGGTGAATGCACTAGTGACTCAAGTTGCAGGTGTCCATGGGTGGTGGTATGGACACCATCATTGGACCTGTGCTTCCTTGCCCTCCTATACCATAAAAAAAGATTGCACTGGAAGGCGACGAACTGAGCCAAAGCCGGTGTCCATGAGTTAGCCACGAAGTTTACCGAACGACGCACGACTCTTTACGAACACTGAGTTTCGTTGCGGCCGTGAGTAGATTTTTTGGCGGAAACAGGTCGGTAACTATCAATTTCTATGTAAATTTCTTATTTCTTCAGACGTGGCGATATTCAAGCTCAAGCTTCCAATTTTACCTATTTTTTAGTGTAGTTTTTTCCCCCTACCTGACTTTATGATATCAATGCGTCGTGCCAATATATATATACGTATACACGCACACAATCATACACTTGAATGGCTTCGAGCAGACAACACCCAGTCTTATGGGCTGCAGCTGAAAACCAGCGTTGGAAGGCACCTGTGGCCATCCAACAATATGCTGAGCTGCAGACCTATTGGCACTTTTTGTAAGGAATTTTGCATGTGCCAAAAGATTTTCTTTCTTTCTTTCAAGCCTAGAAACTAAAATTCTGACAGACTCGATTAGTAAAATCGATTCTCTCAGAAGTCTAGTTTCCAATACTTTGTCTTATATTTCAAGCCATCCGCTAAAGATATAACTTAAGCTAAGTAACAGGGTGCATTGACAAATAAAACAACTCTACTACATATATACGACTATTTTATCTTAAACATTATTCATAACATCAATAAAAAAAATCTACTCTATGGAATATGGTGAGGTGCGGTGAGTTATCAAGTAGTAGGTCCCTCGGGCCCTAGAAACATAATTCGTTTGAATTAACACTTTACTCGTAAGTCTTTGCGAATGAAGTCAGATAATTTCTGTACAATGTTCTCTCCTAAATGGAATGTCTAAAAAATTATCTACTGGTTAAGATCCTTCATCTTACCTACCACAAATGTTTAAGATATTTTCACTTTGACTTTTAGAAGTCCAAGTTTATATACTTTTGTCAAAGAACTTGGCAAAAAGTGGTCAATGATCCATTTGTCATAAAACTGTACTAGAGTCTTAAAGAGTTAAGTCGGTAGATCAAAAGCTTACTTAGAAACTTCTAGGGTTTCGCACTAGATATACGTGGCTAGCTTTAGGATAGAATTAATTCGTGGTACATTTCTTTTACTGTCTTACACTTAAACTGACTTCCTAAAAATTATTTATCTTTTAGGTATTTTTCCAACTGAAAAGAAGCTGAGCCTAGCAGGCACTATGCTATTGTAATAATCAATCTTAAAGCTGCTTAAAATCATTGGAATACTATTTTTAAATCTTGATGCAGATGGTTCATTCTAGCCTGACAAGACCAGGATCTATAAACATTATCTATATTTACAATATTTGTTACATTCTACCACCTTTATCTACTCCCAATAGTCAACTTATCTTTTTGTGTTACCCCTAGCAATCTCTTAACAAAAGCGACAACACCCTTGTCCGTACCAAGCTCTAGTGTGTAAGTGATGGGCTTAAGTTCAGGAGCATTTGATCCTATGTACTTATTACTTTCCTTAGTGATATGACTGAGTTCACCATTGGCACTTTTCACTAACGTATTAATTTCTCTCACTACACTAATAACTGGTATTATATGTTTGCCTTTATTTAACAAAAAGCTGAAAGCCTTAAATAGAATATTATCACTTCCGTAATTGTTGTTCGTTTTGAATAACGATAGGAAACGTTTTTGTCTATTTTTTGGTTCGTTAGTTATTGTAGCATTCGGCTTAACGTTCATCGAGTTGTCGATGTTTTCTTTTCTTTCAGATGTAGATAGTTCTTTAATTGTAACATTTGATTCGTTACCGTCATTTAGATTTAAAGCGTCTTTTGCTATTTCAGCTTTCTTTTTAATTGCGTTATTTGTTTTATCATTATTTGAAGTAATGTGTTCGTGTAAATGATGCGAATGTTTATTTGCCTTTTTTAGTATTTCTTTGGTGTACGTTACTGTTTCTCTTGTGTCCCTTTGAACGCGTTTCTGGCCATTAATCGATTCATTGTCAGTTTTAACTTCGATATAATTTTGTTGATATTTTTTAATTCCTTTCTGTTTTCCATTACTATTGTATCTATGTTTCTGTGTAAGTGATAAGTATTTTCCATTTTTATTTAAGAATATTTGTATTTCTCCTTCAGTTGTATCCGATTCCTTCCACTTTGAACCGGCTGTATATTGATTAATCTCGTTTTGTTCAGATCTGTCTCTATGATGTTGGTTTGACGTTAAGTAATATGAGTAGTAACCACTTGTCTGCTCGGTACCATCACCTGTAAGCGTAAAGTTTTAAACTAAACAGTGCAGAAAGCTTTATGAATAATGATATCAGCAGTGCCTTCAAATAAAACTTGCTGTAAAATGAAAAATTGTGCTAAATACTATGTGTATATAAGGTGCAAATTGCAATAGCTTGACAATGTGCGTAGATGGTGAATATACCCAAAGCATTGGTGGTAATCATCATAAACTACAGTGTAAAAAAAACCTTGCCAAATGCTAATACAGCAGAAAACAGCACTTTACTAAATGCTGCTCCCACCGGCTGTGATACTATTTACCTTCACCCGTGTACCGAGTGATAAACTAAGCCAATGCGAGCTACCATATTTTTAGTCTACCCTCAAAATAGTCTTACTTTTCATCGACCCCGAACCCCATGTGCGCAGTGGGTCCCCCCGCGCACCTCCCCTTCGCGTATTCCGCCCAAGAGGGACAGGCCACAGCTACGAAGGCTGAAGGCCTCAGGATTGACTCCGTGAAGAACATGTAAGAACGCCAATGGCTGCAGAAGACTACGAAAATTGAATAGTTTAGATGGTTTAGATGGGTAGAATTTTAGAATTTACCAATTTCCTTGGTGAGACATAAGAAATGCAAGATAAAGAACTTTAGTATTTCCATTAATCTGTGGTTGTGCATTGAGGGTGGGATACTGTCATATTTAATGTCTGTCTGTACAAATCCATACATTTTTTATCCGATAACCTTGAAACTTCAGACAGTAGTGTTGAAAAAAGGAATTTAACTGACGAAATCGGTTGAATTTTTGTCTTCTGGCAGCCCTGGTGGAACTTTTTAAAAATAGTTTTAAGCAAAGACGACGAAGGTATTTCAGACTATCAATACTTACACTTGTTGAGGAGCAGCTTCTTCGGTATCACGACTTCCAGTTCGCAACCCGGCTGGGGGGAATGACCACCGTTAGGGTAGAAGTCTACGTGGCCTATCGGCTCCTTGACACCTGGTCACAGAAAATAATCTTCATATCATTCTTGCGATGTTCTTTTTTTTATCGACCTTAGTAAGGTTTCTAGAATCCAAAACAGCCCTCTCCTGATTCTAAGGAATTGAGGGGGTTAAAAGGACCCTTGAGCTGCAGGTGTCTCATGGATGGCGAGAGTTACTTACCATTAGGTGACCCATCTGCTAGTTTGCCCCCTATAGCATAAAAAAACAGTTGTGTTAGTTGTTTAGTTGCAAAGTTAGATCACATATTTTTGCTGTCTGTCTGTTGGTCTTGCGTGTGATCTATTCTGGATTTTGAATCAGTATCTACTATACGAATACGTTACCATGGATATCCTCCACGCCTTGCATAGGACCCTGCGACTGTATTTTCCGGTGTAATCCTTAACTCACCAAAGATGCCAGCATCTGTGTGAATGACGTCGACGAACAGCGCGTCCGAGGAGTCCAGCCTCTGTTCTGGAGGTAGACCCGTGAACAGCGGCAATGCTGGATCAAGACCCGTGATCCTTGCAACGCGACCTGAAAAACATTATGGTTATTCTTCTACCACGAAAACAATTTCTTGTTCTGCGCTGAACGCTTCAAAAGGATACATTTGATAGTCCAAACCCTAGAACCCTACCGCACACCAGATATAAAAACCCCGCGTTAAGTCACTGACAATTAGGATCCTCTGATAAGGTTAGGTAATCAAGCCAGGTGGACACCGGCTCCATGGTTAATGATGACCAATGACTAATGAATGTTGCAGTAGCGACAGTAACGTTGATGGTGATTTCATTTCATTTTATTTCATTTAACTTGGCTGAAGAGGTTAGCAAGAATACTAGTTGTGTGTGATACTGGGATTCTTCATAATAAATTTAAATAATATGAAAGCATTGATAAGGTGATGATGGAAGAATAATAGTCAAATTATGGCTGTCTTCGCAAGATGATGCAGAAATATTTGTGTGTGGACGTCGATATATTGCCTAAAAGAATCAAGTGTACCAATAAAATTTGAGTACATGCACGGATGGCATAGTGGTTTAAGCGTTCACCTCGCTGCTTCCTACTGCTGACTGTGATTCACTAATTGTTGTTCTGAGTCTGGGTGTTCTTTGTGTCCGTATAGTCCCCCGTGACACAGGGTATATGCCTAAAAAGACAACTCCCGCAAATTGTCTTTATTGAAAAGAGAAAAACCAACAGATGATTCGTCTTGTTCTTACAGCCTTAAGAGTTATTTTGATGGGTCAGAGGAAATAGAGGAACACATAATCAAAAGTGTAGTGGTACCTGATTGTATCGCGCTCCCAGCCACTCCAGCCGCTTGTGCTCCCAGGCTGTGTCCCACCAGATGCGTGTTGTTTAAGTTTAACCCTCTGGAATAAATTGTATTTACTCTTCATTTATACTCAGTCTGAGGTCATCTACGTAGTTCAGGGACATTTTACACTCGCTAATCTCAGAGTACAGAACTGCCCTTTTTTGGCTAATCTAGAACAATATCTTAGAACACACTTAGGGAGGAACAATATCTCCAGGACAGGAATTCAGCTTAAGATAGACTATAACCTTTAGAGACCCAGGAGGCTATGGAATCAAGATGATTCAGCTTGCTGGAGACCTAGTCTAGAGGTGACGATAATACTCCCGAAGGAGTTCTTGTGACACATAAAGAAGCAATTCAACATTTTATTTGTACTGACACTTACCTCATTTCAAAATGAGTACGAACCTTGAGACCATATAGTCAATGAACTGTGCGGCGAACCTCCCGATATACCAAGTATTCTGCGCGGCCGTGAAGTACCAGGGTCCAGCTTCAAGATGACGAGCGTCTATCATGATCATATTCGTGTCTCCACGCAGCATGTATGCTGGAACGAGATCGGTATATGGTCAATAGTGCCAGAAAGTTCAGAATACAGCACAAGAATCACCTTCTCCCGAGAGAGGGTGGAAGGAGATTAAGGTGCCCTCCATCACTCGGTGGAGTGAGTGCTGAGATTTTCCTACTTAACTCTAGGCTGAATTTGTTACTTATGGCTAAACCCCTCTTTAAGAGACAATCTAAAGACTTGCGTCCAGAGTATATCGACCACAATTTGGTCCCACTCCCATAATAAAGGCTCGCTTATTTCTTTATCCGGGCGTTTTAAATCCTTTGAGACTTGTGTTAAAAGCGATAGACAGTACAACATTAAAGAGTCTTACCTTCTCGAATCATGATGGCGCTACCATCGCTGGGCTGTTCCATGAACGCGTGGAAGTATATCACTGTGGGCGCATGGAAGTCCATATTAGACGCGAATAGTAACTCATCGTCTCCTATCTTCAGCTCCTGGTATGTTGTAGGGTTGTGTCTGTAAGAGGCACACTATAGTTATAAGCTTGTGTTCTTCCTATTTACGGAATTGGACAATATTATCATGCCTTAAGGATAGAGAAGAAGATAATAACTTCTTTCTCTCAATGACTACCGAATGGCGTAGTGGTTTTTGTAACGGACTTCTATTCCAAAGGTCGCGGGTTCGATTCCCGCTGAAGTCAAACATTTGTATGCATGAACATTTAATGTTTGATTTGGTCTGGGTTTTTCTGTGTATAATATGTATGTATTTACAAAAAAAGTATTTATGTATTTATATCAGTTGTCTAGTAGCCATAGTACAAGCTCTGCTTAGTTTGAGACTAGATGGCGTTGTGTAAATGTGGTAGAATATTATTATTATTATTAATTGACTGATACTGGTCAAGCTTACTGGGCTTGTATAAACAGGCTGGTTTCATTCAAACGATATCACGGCTTCACAGAAAACTGCTTTTTAGTCATTTTTATGGTTACCGGAGGCCCAGAATACCATAATTCTGGGGAGCACACAAAGCTGATAACGCACTTGTGACTCATGGTTGCAGGTGTCGGTAGACGGTGCGCTCGCTTCCAGGGAGCACAGGGAACATGGGGTTCCCACACGGGGGGGGAGGGTCGTCTACTCGTCTGTAGATGACCCGAGGTATGTCGGGGCACCAGGGACTTCCTTTCTAAGGTATACCTGGTTCCCCGGCTATTAGTACCCGAGACGGCGTGCGGTTTTAGTCGGTTCGAGTCCGACATGCCACCGAGAGGTGGTATCCGAGGGGATTTCCGCACGAAAAAAAAAAAAAAGGTGTCGGTAGACGGTAGTCACTAGTGATGGATTATTTCGTCTTCACACTCATATTTAATTGTGAATTCTTAATTAGCAGTTACCAAATTAATTGTAGTCGTGAAATTTCGTAAACGTATGAATTAATATATTGTTGTTTTTTTAATTGTTTAAAGATGTTCATAGAATTGTTACCTATATAGTTTTTATTAATAAGAAGTTTAATTATAGAGTAGGTATAGGTAATTTAAGTTTTGAATAGTGTGATGTGTGTATTGTAAATAGATATTTTGTGAATAGATAGGGATATTTTTCCTTGCTTTTTATTATTTGTTTGTTTGTAACCGACTCCTTTTGGCGTGATTTTGACTGACTTTAAACGGTCAGCATTCGTTCAAACTTTGTAGATATATCTCGGACCGATGACAATACACTAATTTAAAATAAAAATTAAAAATAAATAATATTTAAAAAAAAGCGTGGGGTGCTTTTTACTATTGACAACAGGCACCCAACGCTTTTTTTCAAATTTATTAAAATTTATTTTCTATTTCTTAGTTTGGTTTTATATAAAAAGCGTGTTTTTAGTTTTTTTAACTATAATTTTTTTTTGAAATAGTGTTAAATGACGAATTGACGAAGGCTAGCATATCGCGAACAAACTCTGTATTGCATTATTTCTGTATTAATGTGGGCTAAAATATAATAGGAGACAATTTATTATCACGAAAATCGCGATGAGTTAAATAAAAATAAGCTATTTATGAAAAATTAGTAGAAAGTGATATACCTACCTACAAGTTACGATCCCTTTTTGCAAATAATATTAGCATTAGCAATTAACATGCTAAGACTTGAGAATTCGTAATTAATTAAATTAAATCAAATTAGCATTAATGCCCATCACTAGTAGCCTCCAACAGGTTACCCGTCTGCTGCGTCCCCACCACAGACCGCCAGACATGATACACCCTTCTGGGAGGAGTTCTTTATGTGTTGGATAACAGCCATGAACCCAGCTGAAAATCACAAATAACTTACTTGGTAAAGAGTTGGAACCCTATATCGTTCCCATCCTTGATGAAAGGGCACTTGGACTTGTCTACTGGTGCTATTTGCAGGACCGCGTCCTCGTACTGTATTCCTGGTGGACCTGGAATCAGAGGATCCTTTAGGTGGAGAAGGTGCTTACTTCTATCTAGGAGGAGGAGTGTGTTGATAACCAGACCTAGCCCTCCACCGATTAAGAGGTTCATAATTTAAGGGGGGGGCCCCTTAAATTTGTGTTTCAACGCACTTGACTCTTGGTTTCCATCAGCGGCGGTATTCACTTGCCATTAGGTGAACCGTCTGTTCGTTTGCCACACCCCTGCACTAAAAAAACAGTGGCAGTATATACACAACATATCTATGTTTATATTATATATATAGTTATATTATCAATGTATTTCAACCCAAACTCAACTCCCGTGTAAACGAGGCGAACATATGGAGATACTTATATACAGAGGTGTCGGTAACGGTAACGGTATCGCGAGTTCAATGGTTTTTCCCCATCTCAAAAAAATACATTCTTTTGTTTGTTATTCAAAAATGCCCAACGCAAATAAAGAAGCTTTCACTTCAAAAATCAATTGTGGGTTTACACTGGAGATAATTCGTCTTCAGTGCTGTTACCGGTTCTTACGACACGACACCCATGGGGTGGAACGCTGTTTTGCCAATATTATTGTTTTTAATTTTTTATCTTTTTTTTGTTGCCAAATCGTCTGGGACGCCAATTGTTTTCTTCCGAACGCATATTCTGTGGAAATAGATTGGTGTCTCAAATGTAAGCAAGTAACACTGTACACTTTAAATTGAAAACGACGATGTAATGTATAGCGAAATGTGTAATCCCAACTGGCACCCACAGGACAGGCTTGCCTAGTGTAGGCTACCGGCAATATATCACATATTTTGCACTTTTCTTTTTGGTAATAAATGAAATATTAATTCCTCACCACACGGACACGGGGGCCGTGTGTTTGCACACGAGAAAGCCGTCCTTCTTTTTTTAAGTCGGGTTAAAAGTTAAAACATATATCCTTATCTAATGTTAAGGGAGAGTGGTTTATTTTATCTTTGGTAATTTATCTTCCTTCTTTAAAGTAACTTTCAAACAACCATATTTAGTTCATGTTATGTAAGTAAACGAATCACTTATGGACGTAACATTCGCGTGTTGCACATAAAGTTATGTTCGGCGCAATATTTGCGGTCAACCACACGACATCTTTGAAAGATAATGTGTGGTTCTCTCCGAGATCTTACACCGAAGAGGTCAAACGTATAGCATTGGTGTGACAAAGAGGTATTGCAGCATTATAAACGACTAGCTGACCCGCGCAACTTCGTCTGCGTCTCTCAATAGTAATAAATTTTCTCCGTTTTTGAAACATTCTTCATTGGTGCTCCGCTCCTATTGGTCTTAGCGTGATGATATATAGCCTATAGCCTTCCTCGATAAATGGGCTATCTAACACTGAAAGAATTTTTTAAATCGGACCAGTAGTTCCTGAGATTAGCGCGTTCAAACAAACAAACAAACTCTTTAGCTTTATAATATTATATAGATACTGAATTATTTTTTTCTACCAAATTAGGTTTTTAAATGTTTGGTTTTAAATAGTAGCTGTTTATCTGTAGTTTCTTGTCACTGCTCCGCCTCCTATGGTCCGTGGCGTGATGTTATGCTTGTCTTTTCTTTCTTTCTTTCTTCAACAATCAATAACCATCTATCTAATTTTTTGAGGAATTTTAATGTTTATTGCGGTGGTCGCTACACCGCTTTATAAAGTGCCCGTTAGAAACTGTTAGGGTATCCATGAAATCGTAAATAATAATATTTAAAAATAATAGTTTAATTTTTCTTACAAGAAAAAAACAAACTACTGATTTTTTCCCTCAATCTTCATCAACAGCCTTTACTAGTCCACTGCTTGACATGGGCCTCTTCCTAAAAAGGAGGTTTCTCTAAATAATTTCACGTATTTACCACCTGATTTCAAATTAGGTTGAGCCTGCGCAGTGGTAATCAGACTGCTGATACAGAATAGACAGAATAAATGGTTGTGCTCATCATACTCATTCCGCCGCTTCCTATTGCGCTGAGTGTTGTGGGTTCGATCCCCACAAGGGACAACACTTTGTGTGATCCACAAATTGTTGTTCTGAGTCTGGGTGTCCTTTGTGTCCGTTTCATGTATGTTTATAAAGTCCTCCGCGACACAGGTTTTATTCCTAGTGCGGGCGTTGTCTTAAAAACTATAATTTTTCCTGGTTGGGAATCGAACCCTGAGTAGTGGCTTGGTAATCAAGATGACTAACCACTGGACCATCAGGCCAGATAAATAAACATATTTTCATATTTCTTAGCACAGACAACATGACTTAAATAAAAACAGTTAGCGGGACGTATATTTTAAGTACTGTACCTACAGAGAAACCTGCTCATCATTATCTTCAACAGCCTTTAATAGTCCTCTACTGGACATAAGCAACTCATTATAATAATATTGTACCACATTCACACAACGCCATCTAGTCCCAAACTAAGCAGAGCTTGTACTATGGGTACTAGACAACTGATATAAATACATATATACTTTTTTTTGTAAATACATACATTTTATACATAGAAACACCCAGACCAAATCAAACATTAAATGTTCATGCACACAAATGTTTGACTTGAGCGGGAATCGAACCCACGACCTTCGGAATAGCAGTCCGTTACACAAACCACTACGCCATTCGGTCGTCAACTCGTCATTAGAAAGGAGGTTTCGTCCTACTATACCGCGCGTGCCAAACAAGGTAGTTTGTTTCAAGTTTTCCTTCTCTTTAGTCATAATATTATGTAATACAGATAAGCTAGTTAATGTCGTTGGGAAAATGTGGGAAAACTGGCTTTACAACTATAAGTGAACGCCAATTAAAGTTAAATATCGCCTAGGTATGTTTACTTACCGCAGTTATTGCATATATGCAGCTTATGACATAATTTTATAGATATTTTATAGACTTAGTACAAGTTATTGTGTTTTATACAGCAACGCGTATATACAAAGTACAGTATATGTTACGCTCAGAGTTCGAAAACTCTCAACTAACTAAAAAAACAGCTCATAACGCGGTGTGGTCACTGTAAAACACCTCAATTAAGAAATTCGTGTTATGATTCTGCAATTAAAAACATTATCAGTCTGAATGATAAAAAATATTTCCTAAAGAAATCTACAAAAAAGTTTCGAGACTCGTAGGACTCAAATCGCATAGCACCGTGTGTCGTAGTCCCATGCGCGTTACGGCTTTTTTTTATCATCAACAGCCTTTAATAATCCACTGCTGGACATAAGCCTCTCCTTAGAAAGGAGGTTATGACCTACTATACCACGCTGGCCAGACGGGTTGGTATAGGGTTTGTGTGGGGTGCTGGGCTAGAAAACCTCCTCGTGGTGCACCCTGGAAACGCTGGCGATGGTACTGTTCCCTCCTTGTCCTCTTGGAGGAGAGGATTATCGCCAGCGGCCAATATTCTAGCAGAAGAGGCAGCCGTTCATCGGCTCTCGGGCAAGGCCTGGTCCAGCAGGGTGGGCGTGTCTGCCGGTTGCCCTGCTGGCTCTTCGCTCTTCGGAGCATGGAGGAGGAAACCTCGGTAAAAAACCTGATGGCGGGGCCCTGTAGGGGCCACAGTTTCTCCGCTGACAGCGGTGGAGAAAGGAGGACGGGCTCGGCGTGTACTCACACTACCACCGAGCAGGCAGGGGGACGTAGTCTCCTGTCAACCGTCGGCATATCGTAATCCCGAGAAGAGCGCTGTGGTTAAGTCTCGCGGCTCTGATCGGGGGCGAGGGTCTTGGCTTAACCGCCCGGACCGCGAGGAAGATAACCTCTCTAAAAAATTCCCCGAATCCCGTGTTCTGGTGCGTGGCCAGGGGATGCATGGCTGATGGGAAGTTCAGTCGCGAGCGCACTCCAAGCCGAGGTACCTGCGGACCCCTCGGTTGGGTTAAAAACTTACGCTTGCCCGGGTAATGGGGGATCTCTGCCCGGGTGGACCTCTAGTTCTCCCCCACTCGTGGGATTATTATGGATGATTTACAACAAATTAAAAAAACGATCGGAACCAACATACAAACGAAAAAGGCAAGCCTAAAGGACATGAAAGCAAAAGGAAGGAAGGACAAGCAGAACAGTGGAGCGGATGGGTCGTCCACTGAGGGTGAGGTGGCGTCGGGGACGCCTATCTCGATGGGGCTCCCAGAAGTCAGTCTGACGCTGGTCTCTGGGAGCCGAAGAGCATCAGATCGGCTGCGCTCCGGATCCGCCGTTTCGTCGGATGGCGCTGACGCCATGGAGGCGGAGCGAAGCGACAGCCGGAAACGAGGACGCTCCAGGGACGAGGAAACCGACACGTCCCAGGAGATGATGCCACCGAAGGTGGCAAGCAGCCGCCGAGGGAGGGCACGCAAACCTGCCTCGGCCTCGGTCTCGACCCCGTCAGGCTCCGCGTTCTCAAACGCGGAGTCGTACAGGAATGTACGAGTGGACGGCGAGGCCGTAGCGGAGGAGGAGATCGCGGATCTCCTGCTCAAGGTTCGGGAGCCGGTGGGGGGAAATGCCCCCCAGGCTTCCGTGTCCGTGCAGGAGAGGGCGAAAGCGGCGGTGGCCGTCATCCACAAGGTGGCCACCAAGTCCGTGAACCTTAAGGGCTCGTTTGTGAGGGCCCTTAAGGACTCCTCCTCCGCTTTGTCGGAGGTCGTGGAGAGCCTAGTGGGCGATGTGTCTCGCCTGCAGGTGGCCAACGAGAGGCTGACGGAGCGGGTGAACGAGCTGAGCGCTCAGTTCGCCCGCTTCCAGGCGAACCTCCCCGAGCGGGAAGCCCCGTCCGCGTCCCAGCCTGCCCCTACTACCAACTCAGGGGCATTTGACTCCCAACTGCGAGAAATCCTCATCGCAGTTGGGAATATGCTGGACGGACGCCTGGCTGGCCTGGAGGCGAGACTGCCCCCTGCGCCGGTTGTGCGCCCCCCGCTCGCGTCGACACAGCGGCCTAAGGCCGCCGCTCCGACCGCGCTCCCCGTAGTGGGAGGCCGCGTCTCCTACGCGGCGGCGGCGTCTGCCCCGACTCCATCGGCTCCCCAAAAGCCGAGGAGGGGGGCCAAGGCACCGGCCCAGGCGCCGGCCAAGGCACCGTCCCAGGCGCCGGCCA